TAATCATTAATCCTTTTTTTTTTTACATTTTTTCTTGCCTTGTCTTTTCTTTTTCTAAACCTGTAGCTCTGGTTTGCCTTAACTGGTAATCTTTTTCCCTTAGCTTCCCTAGTACTGCTGTTCTAGGCATGACCAACCACAACTGTGTTTTTTATTTTCTTTTATGTAGACTACTCCAGACTAGAACTTTCTCTGTAGCTCAGGCTAGGCTTGAGGTCTCAGTGGTTCTCTAGCCTCAGCTTCCTGGGTGCTAGGATATCACACATGTGCCACCATTCCCAGCCAATAGCACCATATCTTAATTACTATGCATTCTAAACAGCAATGGCTAGTGTTCCAAATTTGTTCTCCAGGATTTCTTTGTTAGCTTTTGTTCTTTGTGTTTCTAGCTGGTTGGTTTGTGTAGGAAATATTATTGAGAATTTGATTATTGCTATAGTTAATCCAGAAATCAAAGGGAATGTTGACACATTTACAATGTAGTCTTTAAGTCTGGGAAATTTGTATCTGTATTTTAGTACTGTTTTATATTTTCCCTAGAGGTCTGAAGCGTTACATTACAGTTGTATGTTGGCATCATGCTGGCTGATTGTGTGCCCCTCTTCCCATCTCCACAGACTGCAGTGGGCCTGGGTGTGATGTGGGATTTCCCTGTGTATGCTATGAATATGTTTTATTACCATTGGTTAATAAAGAAGCTTTGACCTATGGCAGGGCATAACAGAGCTAGGCAGAGGCCATGTAGCTGCTGAAGGAGGATACTGGAACTTAACCAACAGGCCACAGCCTTGTGGTGATACATGTATGAATAGAAGTTGGTTAATTTAAGATGTAAGAGTTAGCTAGGAATATGCCTAAGCCATTGGCCAAGCAGTGTTATAATTAATATAGTTTCTATGTGATTATTCAGGTCTGGGTGGCCAGAAAACCAAAGTGCCGTCTCTGTTTACATGGGTGGTGGCGTTTTCTCATGGCACTTGGCAAATACTGCAAATAGGAACTTTTCTCACCAATCATAGCCATTATCTGATTGTTCTCAGTGTACCATTCTATAACTTTGATAAATTTATATAATCATGTTATGATACTGTGATTAGAGTATAATCTATACATAACTCCATATACTTTTTCCTCTCTTTGTAGTCAGTTTCTTCTTCTACCCAACTTCTGGCCACACTGATCTACTTAGTCTACTATTGGCCTTTCATATAAGTGGCACCATGTCGTATATTGCTGCTTAAGTGAGGTTAAATCATGTTGCATGAAGCAATAGTTCCTTCTCTTTTACTGGTGAATAATATCCCATTGTGCAAATATACCATTGTTTGTTCAGTTCCCAGGCAAGGAGCGTCTGCTTACGTTCAAAATTTTAACCAGTATGTAATATCTACAGAGCTACTGTAAACATCTCTGGATGAACTTCTTTGTTTTCATTTATTTTGGCTAACTTTCTAGAAGTGGTATTTCTGGGTCTTTGGGTAAGCACATATGCAACTCTGTGAGAAACAAACAGTTTGTGAATATGCTATACTATTTTGCCTTCTTACTTGGAAATTATTAGTATTATCTTTACTTTCATTCTGGTTTTTTTTGAGACAGGGTTTCTTTTTTTAAGATTTATTTATTATGTATAGAGTGTTCTGCCTGCATGAATGCCTGCATGCCAGAAGAGAGCACCCATATCTCACTATAGATGTTATGAATCATCATGTGCTTGCTGGGAATTGAACTCAGGACCTCTGGAAGAGCAGCTGGTGCTCTTAACCTCTGAGCCATCTCTCTAGCTCTTGCTTCACATTCTTGTCAGCACTTGGGCTTTTTTCTTTCTTTCTTTCTTTCTTTCTTTTCTTTTCTTTTCTGTTTTTTTTTTTTTTTGAGATGGGTTCTCTGCAGAGTCTTGGTGGTTTGGGAACTTGCTTTGTAGACCAGGCTGGCCTCGAACTCTCAGAGATCTGCCTCCCTCTGCCTCCTGAGAGCTGGGATTAAAGGAATGTACCACCACTGTCAGCTTGGTTTTCTGTTTTTTTTTAAGTGTGCAGTATTATCTTTTTTATTTTTATTTTGCGGATCATAATATAATTATGGTATTTTTCCTTTTCTTTCTTCCCTCTAAACCGCCCCTTATACCGACTTGCTCTTGGAGAATTGTCTGTATTCTGTCAATCATGTTTTAAATAAACGTTGATTGGCGAGGCAGGAAGTATAGGTGGGTCAACCAGACAGGAAGTAGAGGCGGGGTGATGAGAACAAGAGTATTCTGGGAAGCAGGAAGCTCCCTCCTCAGTCCAGCCCAGACCACCAAAGAAGCAACATGTGACCTGCCTGCTGTGAAAGGTACTGAGCCATGTGGCTAGCATAGATAAGAACAATGGGTTAATATAAGCTATAAGAACTAATAAGAAGACTGAGCTAATGGGGCCAATCAGTTTATAACCTAATGTAGACTCTGTGTAATTTTCTTTGGGGTTTGCTGGCTGTGGGGAACTGGGCAGAGCAGAAACCCCAAAGAGCAAGCCCCTCATGTTACACAAGTTCATTAATTATTATTCATATATGTATATACATATATATTCCTAACTATAACCCTCTGAGATGGTATTATGTTACTTGATTGTATCAAGACTATTTGGTATTGGAAAAGCAATTGGGTGCTCTTCCCTGGGAAGGCTATATCTTCAGCTCTCAGCACTGCTTAGTTGCCTGTAGTTCTTTGTATAGGGCTGAGGCCTTGTGAGTTTTCTTTGTCCACTTTCTCATGTCTGTTGATGTCGTCCTCGTTCAGCTCATGTTTGGCCAGTCATCTTGGTGAGACTTTATGGTTGTCTTTTGACATTACTAAGAGACATAATCTCACAGCAAGCTCCATGATCCTCAGATTCTTACAATGGTCCTGTTTTCTTTTCCATAATGTCCCCTGAGTCTTGGATGCAGGAATGTTGTGCATAGACTCTGTAATTCTATATTTTGATTGGTTCTGGTTTTCTGTAGTGGTCTCCATCTGTTACAAAGAGAATTTTCCTTGAGGGAGAGGTGACAACCTACCTGTGGGTATATGGACAGATGTTTAGATTGTTGCTAGTGATTACGCTGGCTTACATAACTTGTGCTAACTAGCAGGTATCTAATTGAACTTAAGACTCTCTCAGCAAGAGGGAGACCATGCCTGGTACTGGAAACCCACTACTCAGGCCAGTGAAGTCATAGACCTTAGAGGAAAACCTCCAACCACTACTCTACTTCACAGCACAATCCCTAGTTTTATCTTTTAAAAAGGTTTTATTTGTTTTTATTGTCTATGTGTTTTGCCTGGGTCTGTCACATGCATGCAGTTCCTGATGAGGCCAGAAGAGGGCATACTTTTTTTTACTACATGCCCCAGGCTAGCTTCAAATTCAAGATCCTCTTGCCCCAGCCTTACCAGTTATTGAATTGCCACCATCTTCCACTATGCCTAGCAATAAAATGCAATTTAATTTAATTAGCATATTGATTATAGTATTTAATTGCAAAGTGTTAAAATAGTTCAAACTAATAGCAATTAGATGAATAAGAGAAGCTTTCCATGACTTTTCTAATCTATTTCAATTAAGATAGACTGTTATTGGTGCTGGTATAGGAAAAGTTTGATTTCCCTTTTACTTTATCCAAGTATCAATTCCTCACAGATTTGACTATCAAAAGCAAAACTCTAAAGCTCAATAAATGCTAATTTTTTTCAGATTTTCATAAGGAGATAATAAAACATGGCAAAGTGCTAAGTACATATTACAATAACAGTTATTAATAAATTAACAATTGCTCTACATCAGTATTAGCTTGTGAAGAGTGGAAAGACGTGTGCTTGTGCTGTAGTTTTGCATGTTGGATGTATGTTGTTCTGTGTCTTCTATTTGTCATTTAAATTTCTCTTGTGTTTGGATGTTCTTTCTTGTCTCAGAAAATTTCTGCTGTAATTTCATGGAATACTCTATGCTTTAGTATTTATCTTAACTCCTTCTATCTCATGAGTTCTTAGATTCAGTCTCTTGATTGGTTTTTGGAGTTCCTAGTAATTTTGGTCATTTTTTTTCTGTTTATTTTTTTTTTTAAGTTGGGATCTGGAGAGATGGCTCAGTGCTTAAGAGCACTTGTTGCTTTTCCAGATGTTCTGAGCTCAGTTCAGTACCCACCTCAGGTAACTCACAACTGGCTACAACTCTAGCCCCAGGGATCCAGTGCCCTCTTCTGGCCCCGTGGGTAACTGCACACACATGGCATAGTCACTCAGAGATACATATCATACACATAAATAAAAAGTAAAAATGGGTACGTATGTGTGTGGGCATGCATGTGGGGGTCTGAACACAAGTTTTTGGAGTCAGTTATCTGCTTTCTGTACCAGGATGAAGGCCTGAGTTTGATTTCCAGCAGCCAGCTGAAAACCAGGCGTGGTGGCTCACACCCAACAGCCCAACACTGGGGTGGTAGCGATAGTGGGATCCCTGGGGCTTGCTGGCCAGCCAGTCTAGTTGAATCAGTGAGCTCCAGATTCAGTAAGACATCTATCTCAAACAGTGATGTCGAAAGTGATTGAAGAGCCTTAATGAAGGCCTGTGACCTTCATGTGTATGCACACCAGTGTGCATGGGCACTCACACACTCGTGCATATACACAAGCATCACAAGGATTCTTTGTTTACATAACCGAGCTTATTCCTAGGGCATGGAGGAACTGCAAAATATAATCATGATATTTATCTGCTCTAACAGTTGAATACTGGCTTAGATATTTTTTTCTTGTTTAGTAAAGAACTTTGTACCAACATTTTGAAAAGAAACTATTGACTGGTTGAGTCACTTGAGCAGGAAGACTAAGTGTCTGGTCTGGACTATGAGATGGTCTGGATGGAGTGAGACATGTGACCCGAAGGAACGTTCCCAGTCCTGCTGGAGAGTGCAGAGGCACCGATTTCATGGTGTTTGAGATAATTAGCTAAATTAACTGACACTTTGTTCAACAGGTGGCTTTTCAGAGAAGTCAAGCGAATGGAGCTCAGAAGAGGAGGAGCCAGTGAAGAAGGCAGGACCTGTCCAAGTCCTCATTGTCAAAGATGACCATTCCTTTGAGTTAGATGAGGCTGCGCTGAACCGGATCCTTCTCTCCGAGTCTGTCAGAGACAAGGAGGTAGTTGCCGTGTCGGTCGCTGGGGCCTTTAGGAAAGGGAAGTCTTTCCTGATGGACTTCATGCTGCGGTACATGTACAACCAGGTAGGGACCGGCCCTTAAAGACATTCCTTCCCATGCCTCTTCCACATCGGGTTCTTAGAAGCGCTGAGTATTTCTGTTTCTGTTATTATGTGTGCTCAATGTGAGGGCTACAGTGTAGCCATTCCAACCTTGGTGCTTTGGGAGCAAACTACACAGGATTTTTCTTGGAAGCTCCTGTGCCACATTTACCTAAAGATATAACTTACTTTTTACTCTTTTAAAAATTAGCACTAGCATAATGATAGAACTATGAATTTTACATGTAATATTTCAAATGTCAAGTAGATTTTACCATAAGCTTTTCTTTTTAATAATTCCACTACAGTGTTTATGATGAAATTCTTAAAACATGAGGCAAATTTTGAGCCAGGTGGCAGCACACACCTTTAATCCCAGCACTCAGGAGGCAGAGACAGGCAGATCTCTGTGAATTCAAGGTCAGCCTGGTCTACATGAGCTAGTTCCAGAACAGACTCCAAAGCTACAGAGAAACTCTGTCTCGAAAAACCAAAAAAAACCAAAAAATCATGAGGCAAATTTTAAGGATTTTCACAATGTGCACTTAGGTGCCAATACCTTGATTCTTCCACAGACATTAATGTTCCTAATTTATCATGTGTGTCTGTGTGTACTCATTCTTCTAGTCATTCATCTCTTCATGATATTAAAAAACATCAAATTAGTCGAGCAGGGGTGGCACACGCCTTTAATCCCAGCACTCGGGAGGCAGAGGCAAGGGGATCTTTGTGAGTTCAAGGCCAGCCTGGACTACAAGAGCTCCAAAGCAACACAGAGAAACCTTGTCTCGAAAAACAAAAAAAACTTCAAATTAAATTGCATCAGTGTACTTTCTCACATGCTTCAATATAAGTCATATATTATTCTCATAGTTTTTGTTTTTAAATAAAATCTATAGAGAGAAACACAAATATTAAATATATTTGTTTATTTTTTATAAATGCATATCCCTGTGTAGGCCATAACTCAAAGCAGAGATCACCATTCTCTCCAGAAAGTTCCTTCATAGCTTTTTCTAGTCTGCTCTCACTTTGTCCTAACCTTAGAGGCAATTGATAGTGTCTGACAAATCGTGTGATACAGACATGTGACTTCTAGGGACCTTGGCTCTATCAGATGCAGAAAGATGAATGGGAAATTGTTACAAGGCTAGACGTTGGCAAAGGGAAACGTTCTGGCATCTTCCCACTCCCCGTGACTTCCAATGCAAACATGGAGTATTGAAGTAGAATGGATAAATGTCCCAAAGAACTTTATATTCTGAAGCACTAGACAGGCTGAGGCAGAATAATTCTAAGTTAAGAATTAGCCAGCCAGGTGTTGTGGCATACACCTTCAATCCCAGTATTTGGACCACAGAGACAGATGGATCTCTGTGAATTTGAGACAAACCTGGTCTACAAAGTGAGTTCCAGGACAGCCGGGGCTATACAGAGAAACCCTGCTTCAAAAAAGAAAAAGGAAAAGAGAAGGAAAAAAAGTCTAGATTGCATAGAAAATTCCAGGCCAACCTGAGCCGTATGACAAAACTGTTGCAAAGGTCTTTGGACTGTGTCTTTATAGCACAGTTATCCGTTTTTAGTTTGATTTTTTAGGCATGAAGTATTTTAGGACAACTTTGAAGCTAACCTTTATCTAGCTTTAGTTCAAACAAATAAAGAACAGAAGTGCTAAGATAATTCAGGCTTTGAAAGCAAGCAACACTCTTTAAACCCAAATGTGTTATGGTACTTAACATACATAGATGGGTTACTGATGCACATTCTAGTCAAGTGTGATAAAGGGTGCTTGCTAGGATCCCCTTTTTCTTTATCTGCACCTAGCAGAGCATTAACAAAGAGAGACAGAAGGTGAACACTGGCTTGTCCTGTTCCCTGCAGGGGGCAGCAATCACTGGCCGCGTGGACTTACTCTAGTCCCGTTTCTGCACATATGACTACCATTCACGTTAGAATGGTGACATGTAATTTTTAATTTGACAAACTATGTTCTTTTTAGCAGGAAAAATTTTAACTTCGTTTTATGCCTGAAACATAGTGTTCAGTAATTAATCATTAGAGATACAATGAATGCCTGCCTGAATGCATGAAACAAGCTAAATTTTCAACCTTCCAAAGTCACTCTTTATGGGTATATCCCTTGTCCTTCAAAAATAGTTTTCTGGGATAGAACTTTTATAGTATCTTTTATGATTATCCTCAGGTAATGTTGCAATAATGCTATTTTCCTAGTTCATAACTATCACAATTTATCCATTGAAATTTACTTCCCAATTGTTTTTGTATGTAGTATATTTAATTTAAATATCAACATTGACTAGTTAATATCAATTGACTCCTTGCATTGTGTTAAGCACCATGGAGGATACCAAAACAGACAGAATTTTATACTAAAGCATATCATCGTTTGGATAAGGAGACAGAATCAAGCCGTGTTAAAAAATTAGAGCAATGCTCAGCTCTAAATGGAACACCTGTGTCACAACCTTCCTCCCAGGGCTTATGGATCATTGTAGAAGAGGGCTAGAAAGCATCTAAAAGCCAGGTAGGGTGGCTACAAGGAGACTGTCTTCCAGACACAACACAGCAACCACACAGATGAACTCATGGGGTTGTGACAACGCACACAAGACCTGTGCAAGTTCGAGCCACCCCAAATATCAGCACGGAGGGGGAGTGGGCACAAAGCACCATCCTAGCCAAAGCGCTATTGACAGTTGATAGGTGTACAAACTTCGGATCTAGAAGGGAAGTAGAAGGGCCGTTCTAGACTAAGGGGAACACTTTAAACAAAGAGCACACCCTCCATGGAGTGGATTTTACGTTGGCAATGAAGACGTAAGGATAATGGCACAGATGGTGTAACCCATTATTGTGCTTTTTATAAGGATCTAAAACAGCTTTATCGAATAAGACAGGATATAGCACACACACTCTCCTCCCAAGACTCATCCATCATTGTGGAAGAGGAGGTGGAAAGATTGTATGATCTAGAGGCTATGGATGACTACAAAGAAACCGTTTTCTGGACACAAAAGGGGCAGTTTGCCCTTGTGAGCTAAGTCACAGCTGCATTAACGCTGCATGCTCAAGTCAGACAAAATCCCAGCACAGAGGGCACCTGAACTGGCCTTGTCCCATGGTTAGACTGATGACTATCTTGAATATCACCATAGAACCTTTGTCAGGCGATGGATGCAGATAGAGACAGAGACCCACATCGGAGCACTGGACTGAGCTCCCAAGGTCCAGTTGAAGAGTAGAAGGAGGGAGAACATGAGCAAGGAAGTCAGGGCCACGAGGGGTGCATCCACCCACTGAGACAATGTGCCTGAGCTAATGGCAGCTCACCAACTCCAGCTGGACTGGGAATGAACGAGCATGGGATCACACTGGACCCTCTGAATGTGGTTGACAATTGGGGCGGACTGAGGGGCCAATGATAATGGCACTGGGATCTGTCTCTACTGCATGTCCTTGTCTTTTTGGGATCCTATTTTCTTTGGATGCATACCTTCCTAAGCCTGGATGGAGGGCGGAAGACCTTGGACTTCCCAAAGGGCATAGTACCCTGCCCTCTCTTAGGACTGGATGGGGAGGAGGGTGTGTGGAGAGTGAGAAGGAAGTGAGAGGAGTGGAGGAAATGAGAATTTTGATTGGTATTATTTATAAAGTAATAAAAAAAAGAGGAAAAAAAAGATTTCTTACTGCTCTTCCAGAGGACCAGAGCTCAATTCCCAACACCCATATCTGGCAGCCTACAACCACCTGTAACTCTAGCTAGAGGGCTTTTAACACCCTCTTCTGGCCTGCACCGGCACCTGCACACATATGTCTACTCACACCAGACACACATGCATGTGAATGCATAAATAAATGAATCAGTTGCTCCATTTCCCATGTTGTTTCCACTTATACTTTATATACATTTCCATTATGACATATAGATATATACTATACACATGTATATGTGTATAAATTGTAGTGATGTTAGCCACTAACATAAACCATAAACAGGTTGCTCATCTGTAATTACTTTTGAATGCATAAAGTGATTGTATTAATGTAACAGATGTGCACACGTTTTTCCTTTTAATTTGAGTTACAGAAAAAGAAGCATCAAAAAGGATGAAAGGAAAACCCATACATGCTCATCCAATTCTACTCATAGACTTTATTAAATTTATAGGAATCTGTTGATTGGGTTGGAGATTACAATGAACCGTTGACTGGATTTTCATGGCGAGGTGGATCTGAACGAGAAACCACAGGAATCCAGATATGGAGTGAAGTTTTCCTTATCAATAAACTTGATGGTAAAAAGGTATGATACATTTTAAGTAAAATTAAAATTTTAATTTCAATAGTAACCTTGAAATTTTTTTTTTTGAAAACTTTGGTCCATTTCACATAATGCTACAGGGTCAAGAGTGGTGTCTAACTGAATGATCCCTGTCAAACTGTTCAGTGATCCAGGAGACAAAAACCATAATGGGCTGAGTGGTGGGGGTGCATGCATTTAATCCCAGCACCCAGGAGGGAGAGGCAGGCAAATCTCTGTGAGTTCGAGGCCAGCCTGGTCTACAGAGCAAGTTCCAGGACAGACTCCAAAGCTACAGAGAAACCTTGTCTCAAAAAACCAAAAATAAATAAATAAAATAATGGATACAGAATAGCAGATAGCAAACATATTTTACATCATCTCAATGCGATGCTTTTATTCTAGGTTATCAGAGAAAATTAAAAATGACTGCACCCAGCAGCTCTTATTTTTTTCTGTGATATAGCAGGTGCAAGAAGTTAAGTATTCATTGATAATAGATTCCTTTCGTTCTTCTGGTGTTAATATCATAGTAGCCCTGGTACCGTGGATGTTGTGTGCAGTGTCAGTAATGTTCTCTGTTCACCTGTAGGTTGCAGTGTTACTGATGGATACTCAGGGAACCTTTGACAGTCAGTCCACTTTGAGAGATTCGGCCACAGTGTTTGCCCTTAGCACAATGATCAGCTCAATGCAGGTATGAAATAAAATAAATCTATTTGTGGATTTTTTTTTTTTAGCCTTGAAGTGTCATACATTTATTTGCTTGAAGGATACAATTTTGGCACTTGTCCCAGTTATTTTATCTTCTTGTTCATTTCTGGACACTCTTTGCAAATATTTCAGTATTTAAAATCCTTTTAAAAATCAATTAATAGTATGAACTTATATTTAATCCTTCTTTAGTATTATTAAACCACCTGTGACTTTTTGAAGAATGTTAATGAGTAAAACTTTTTATAGCTTTCACACATTCTTCTCTGGCTTATACGTTAGAAAACACTGTCATTTATTAATCTTAAAGACAATGTATTTTCATACAAATAAGTTTCTAAGATTTCTTCAATTCTACACATACATTTATACTAAAATATTGTTTGTAAAATATATTTTGCTCATTATACCGTATAGAATTGTTTTTTATATTAACTAGATTTATAATAATACATCATATTATATTTTAGCAATTCACAAGATACATATTGCCAAGTAAATTATTCATTGAACATATTCTAAAATTTAAGTTCTAAATTTTGAATTTTATGTTTAAGTAAATTACATAAACAATTTAAAAAGGGTGGAAATTTAACATTAATATTATAAAGGCCCTTTTTCAGATTTTGTTTCCTATGCATGTACTGGATTTTGGGGATCCAGTCTGTTTGGATTCTCACCTTCCTGGACCTGGAGGGAGGGGGGAGGAGCTTGAACTTCTCACAGGGCAGGAAACCCTGACTGCTCTTAGGGATGGAGAGGGAGGAGGAGAGGGAGTGGGGGGAGTGGGAGGGTATTGGGAGGTGGGGCGGAAATGGAAACTTTTATAATTTAATAAAATTACTTTAAAAACAAAACAAAAAAAACCAAAAATAATGCCTTAATATTATATGTCTTGTGGATGTTTCTTAACTAAAATTCATGAATAGTGCCTCTACATACATACATACATGCTGTTCATATGAGCATATCTATATGTTGCTCAGTTAATGCCCCATGAATAGTTATTGTTACTGTAATTACTGATCAGTTTCTAAATTGGCTGCTGTAGTCCAAAATAGTTTTATTATTGTCACTTTTTCTGTTAAAGTTTACAGTGTGTTAAAATATATTAAATTTTATAGTGAGCCAGTCCAGGCTGTGATCATATGCAGATGGAGTAATGGAGCTAGTGAGCAGACAGACAGACAGACAATCTATGTGGTCAGCACCGCCCAGACAGGTACAAAGAAAGAGGGAGGGTGAACTGAATTTTTAAATAAATGAATTTAAAATAAAAGTTATAGCTATAATCCATGGTTGATGCTTTAAAAAAATGTACTTTTTAGGTCTGGAGAGATGGCTCAGAGGTTAAGAGCCCTTGTTGCTCTAGCAGAGGACCTGGGTTCAGTTCCCAGCACCCACGTGGTGGCTCACAGCCACCCATAATTGTGGTTCCAGGGAGTCTGACTCTCTTATGACTTCTGCAGGCACCTGACACACATGTGCTGCACACACATGCATGCAAACAAAATGTTCTTACACATAAAGTAAAAAATAAACCTAAAAAGGTTTTTAAAAGATTGGCACAAGAAAGTGATCCATAAAAACATAGGTTATTCCTGTAATCCTGACGTCTGCTTCTTCAGTCAATCTTCAAAGTATCAACTCGATATCTATTTCATTTAAAATCAATAGGAAAAATGATTTGCACAAACCAGTTAAAATCAATTTAACATTGCTTTTAACATTCCTTATTTAGTGTTTATAGTTAGCCTGGAAACACTGAATCATTTCATAGAAAACATCTGTTAAGTAAAGACTATTTTAAATTACTATCTGAGAAATTACATTATTTAAATAACTACTCTTAAGAAGGCTACTGTTTGTGCCACTGTGTAAACATATAAGTGACCTTAATTTTATCTGTAAAGTTACTAATGTTTATCACCTCAAGGAAAATAAGGAAACCACACAGTGTCCTCTTCAGGCCACACTGTAGTGCAAGAGCCACGAGACAGGAGCACAGAGCTGTGAACATGACACCCAGAACCTAACTTCTGTGTGGAGGGACTTTCTGTAGACATGAAGAGTTAATTGTAATTTTCTGGTTGGGCAGGACAGCCCACTTTTGTATCCCCTGCTTCTTGAGAGTTTGAAGCAGGAGGACTACAAGTCTGGGAAATATGATGAAACCGTCTCCCAAAATAAAAAGGGCTTGAGGTGTTACATTATAAAACCACCCCTCCCCAACACACGCGCATTCCACAGAGGATGTTCAGGCTTAGATCAGTACTCGCTCGGTGTGCTTTGAAGAGGGATTATTAAATAGGTCCACAAGATAATTGTAGTTTGATCAATACTCACTTGGTGTGCTTTGAAGAGGGGTTTATTAACGAGGTCCATAAAGTAATTGTAGTATTTGGACTCCACAGGAAGTGACTCCTGTATTTTTCTAGCGTTTTTGTGATCATTGTACATTATTATCTATCAAGCTCTCTTTACTTTTTCCTTGGAGTCTCTTAACTGTGAGTAAGAGAGCGATTTGTAGTCACTGACACAGGAAAGAGGACAGTGGAGGGATGCTCATTATTTCTCTTCTTGACTTCTTATCCCACAATCAAGGTATACAACTTATCCCAAAATGTCCAGGAGGACGATCTTCAGCACCTCCAGGTAAAAGCATGTTTTGTGTATCTGTTGGTCTTTTGGACATGCAGACCAGAATTTGGGGGAACTTCAGACACGTGACCATGTAAAGGTCATCCTGTTGCCAGGTCTCTTTTCTAGTCTTGTATGGTTATGTTCTTTCTAATTCAGTTTTCATATTCCTTTGTTGCTAAACCTGCTTGCTCCCGGTGCTAAAATACATGAAAGTATATGGCAAATCAGAGTGAACAAAGAGCCAGGTGGTGGTGCCGCATGCCTTTAATACCAGCCTTTGGGAGTCAGAGGCAGGCGAAGCTTTGTGAGTTCGAGGTCAGTCTGGTCTACAGAGCGCATTCTAGGACACCCAAGGCTGCTACACAGAAAAACCATGTCTCAAAGAACAAAACAACAACAAAGTGGACAAAGAATCTTCAGTGTGAAGAGTCTCTAAATTGCAGTGTCAAAAATCTTAAGATCAAGGACTTTATAATTTGTTGGTATGGTGTCTGTTATATGGCAGACTTCTTTCCTTGTGGGCCTTGTGGTTCAGACCTGTTAGAGAAGACTTGAGATCTGATCTGAGAGAGACAATGATGGTACCTAATCTCCCCTTCATGTTTTATAAATGAGGGAAGTGGGAATGAAAGCTAAGTGCCTTGCTGAGGCTGCTCTGGCTAGTTAATGGTGGGACGGGGTAAGAACCGGTGCTGGGTCCTATCTTCTTTCCACTCTCCATGAAGTAGGAGTCTCACATAAAAGATGTTTTCTAGGGATTTTTCTCGTGTATGCAGTAGCATTCTCTTCCGACTCCACACATGTTATTCTTGAGGAGATAGCAAAGCTTCTACCCCTCTGATAGCTCTCTTTCTACATGTTTTACATAAAATTTACCTAACATGTGTATCAGATCCATATAGTGAAATGTGAAACTTTGGATATTAAGGACAGTAAAGCAATGTAACCCATGGCATTGGAAACATCACTTGAGGTTCACTTCCAATGTTGTTACCTGACACATTCTGGTATCTCATATTGATCATTTATGACAAATAGATGATACGTTGAATAATTGCTGGGTGTATTTTATTAATAAAAGCAGCTTCTTCTTTGGCAAGTGTCATAATCTAGTCACTTTCTTAATGAGCCACATGGTGCCATTGCATGCTGGCTTATTTATGCATATCTACAAACGGAATAATTTTTGGCAGTGATGCTGAGTTAACAGTGTATTTTGATCATTTAATTTTTCCCCTGTAAATGACAATACCTTGCTCTGAAGTGATTGTGAATTCAAGTTATGTCAGTACACAAGTCTCATAAGTGTAGTGTCCTGGACCAGTTGCCTTTTAGACACCCAGACTTTGAGCTCCTCACTCGAATGAAATATCTAGTAATCACCCTTTGCTTTCTTGGTTTCCACTGCCCTGCAGGGCCAGCAGTGTGAGGCTGGGGTGCTAGGCTAGCATTCTTCCCCAACTCCAAGAAGTCTTGTTAGCCCAGTGTGTGAACTGAGCATGTCCTCTGTCACGTGGGGAACATCTAACCCACCCAGATGATATCAGGACCCTTGTCAGTCATCTCCACAGGCCGGGGTTCACTAAAACAACAGCTCTCCTGGCTGTGCTTCATGTTCCTAATTGTAAGCAGTGAAAAACAAGGGAAGACAATATATTTAACTCCCTGCTTTTAAAACCAGATGCCTCATTTTGTAACTCAGATCTTTGTACCTTTACATTTCTCCAGGATGTACCCTAGCTGTATTACGGCCCTCTAAGCCAACCACTTCACATGTGCCTCCATTCCACAGGTTTTTTAAAATATCACAGACATGAGCTTAAGGCTGGGGCTACCTTTGGAGCAAGTGCTTAGCACTCAGTGCTCAGTCACTGGCGCACACGAAACATAGACACGTGGGAAAGAAAGAGGGGCGGGCTTAAAGTAGAAGTTTCTTCTTAAAATGTAACATATTCTTCATTTTTAGATATGTAATTACTGTATCTTTGCTTTATATAATTAATGCTTGTTTCCTGAAGATGACTATGCAATCATGACATCGTAGCATTCTGTTACAGCTGGGGGACTGGGTAGAAGAATTCCAATAAGTAAACAAATCTCAATCTTTCTCCTTCTCCCATCCCAGCTTTTCACTGAGTATGGCAGGCTAGCGATGGAAGAAACATTTCTGAAGCCTTTTCAGGTAGGTGAAGTTGAAGGACAGAAAATTCTTACTGGATTTTTATGGAATCTATAACTGTGACTTTCATCAGAGTCATGTTTCTTTCCTTGATTTATTTCTTTCAAGAAGCATTTTTAGGCTAGGTGTGGTGGTACATGTCTTTAATTCCAGCACTAGAGAGACTTTAAGCCAGGGGGATCTCGGTGAGTTCAAGGCCAGCCTGATGCACATTGGGCATTCTAGGCCACCCAGGGTTCCACAGTGAGTTAAGAGACCCTGTCTCAAAGGAAGAGGAGAAGGCATTTTACATTCCTGTTCTAAGCTGTTTGATATGAAGCAGAGAAGTAGGGAAATAAAGCCTGTCTTAGATTCTCTGGCTCCTGGGAGATATCAGCTTTGCTCTGAGCTCAGCCCTCGAGATGTCACAGAAGACACTTGATGCATTTGCCAAGCGTGAACCCAAACAGTCCTAGCTTGGAACTAGCTCTTGTAGACCAGGCGGGCCTCGAACTCACAGAGATTCATCTGCCTCTGCCTCCTGAGTGCTGGGATTAAAGGTGTGTGCCATTGTAATTTGTAGTTCATTCCAAATCCAACTTTAAGCGAGTCTGAAGTTTTCTAATACTCTTGGTAAATGCAGCCGTCAGTTTCTGTGACTCCGGGAAATGCTCATTCCCCATAGTGTGGCTCTGTGGTTCTCTCGGAGGGCTGGTTACCCATAACCTATCAGACTGGGTGGTGGGAGTGGAGGATTTCACCCTGCCATGTGCTATCACTGAATTGCCGCTGAAAAGATCTCCCTTAAGCTGGAATATAGACTTCAAAGTGCCCTGTGGTCTACCATTAAATGCTCTTCTTGGCTATAACAACCCAGGAATTTACTATTTAGCCATTTTATACCCTCTAATTACGTAGATTGCAAAGAAATAGAAAATATCCCCCAGTTGATTAACATAGTCAATTGTGTGAATGCTTTAGATATTGATACGTGTCTGTATGGCAGATGCGTTTTGGAGGTCAGTTCATAAAAGCTCATATAACTGTCAGTAAACACATTTTTAAGTGGCCATGGTATTTCTACACCCCAGCCTCTTAGGCCAGAGCTCTGAGTTAGACCTGCAGATGTCCGGGCCTTTCTGGGTCTGGTGACCTGAGGTAGATGAAGGGCTGGCGGCCCTGTGGAGGTGTGGCTAGAGAGAAGGGCTGGAGCTTATGACATCCTGGCCTTGACAAAACATGCTAGCATCCTTCATAAACACCCAGATTAAAGTCATTTCAGCATCATCCAGGTGAAATGGTGCATGGCTTTAATCCCAAGTACTCACCAGGCAGAGGCAGGCAGATCTCTGTGAGTTCAAGGCCAGCCTGGCCTAGAGAGTAAATTCCAAGACAACCAGGATTGTTGCACAAAGAAAAACAAAAATAAGTAAAATAAACAAATAAAGAAGTAAAAATATTTTCAGCAGCATACCTAATTTAACTTAAAGTCCCCGTGTGCAATAGGAAGCTGTACTGTCCAGGTCATGCTTAAGCATGAGATGAGTAAAGTCTGTGTGAACCACTGTGCATACCCTGGCAGACAGCAGCTGCAGCAGGGAAGGTTCCAGAGAGATGGAGTGCCGTGTCTGTACACGGGTGGTCAGTATATCTGTGTTCTTTGGTAATAGGAACATTAGAGGCATAAATCCTTGGGGAAAAAAATTTTTTTAACTAGCTCTTAGATCTTGAATTAAACCATTTCTAGTCTATGTATCGGCATAAGACTGTGGCATACTGGTAAGGATTCGGCATGTCTCCTTCGACAGCTACATGGCACCTCTCTCTGACTCAGCCTACTCTCTCTATATATCTTTGTTCAAATTTACCACCTAGCTATATTCTGCTCTGCCATAAGCCAAAGCAGATTTATTCATTAACCAATAAAAACAGCATATATAGAGAAGGACATTCCATATTACCCTGGAACTTTGCTAGTAGAACTGCCGTTAAAAACTTAACTGTACCATCATGTTAATCGTATGTGATCTTCAGAATCTCAGTGGTCATATTGACCATCACGTGAAAGGAGTAATTAGAAGAGAAAAGGCGCTGATCTTGCCAGTTATAGAATCAGTAAGACGGTCTATGCTTTTTAACTTAATCGTGTTGGATTTGGATCTCATTATTTACAATATAAGAAATTCATCAAGTTCTGGTATTTAAAGTATTATAATGGGGAAAGAGAAGTACAGAATAACCTGGGGGCACAGGCAGCTGAACCCACAGAATTACCTGATGATTTCTACGTGCGTTTGACAGAGCTGCCAATATCTATTATAAATTTAACCATTTACACTCAAACTTCTTGTATTGTTATTTCAAAGTTATTACTTGAAAAATAAATAGGAGCTGGAAGGAAAGATAAGAGGAAGCCTGAGAAGTTGAATTTCCTCATGGCAAGAAGCCAAGGGTCAAGCATGTCCCTAACATAGTGGAATGTTGTGCAGTGATAGCTCTGAATGGTAAGCAGTCATGCTGCAGAATGGTGAATTTCACAGATACAACGCTGAATGAAAACACGCAGACCAACCTGTTATTTCTCAAGTCACAATAGTGCCGCCCTCTAGGCAGAGGAGGAAGGGAAGAAAGCAGAAGTGGGGGCTTCAGGAATGATAGACAATGTTTCTCCCTGTAAGGGCAAGTTACATCGTGTGCACAGTTTCTGACAGTATGTTAAACCTTGCCATGACATGTGTTTTTCTGTATGTAGAATATATTTCAACAGAGAAGATTTTAAAGTGAACAGACAGTTTGTGAACTGGTGGTGAAAAATTAATTCCTTGAAACTCATCACTATCTTAAATGCCATCCTAAGTTTCCTAGACATTTAATTTCAATTACATTTTAATGTAACACTTTTCGCTTTGGTTGTGACATTGATATTCTCATGAGTTTTATATAAAATTGCCTTTCTTTTTCCCTTGTTCTACTCCTTGTGTATAAACTTCACTAAGTGTTAGCTGTAGTTGCTTTTGAAATTTGGAATGCATTTTAGTTTTTATTCTCTGGATTTTGAAATTTTATGATAAGAAAGTGTATACTATCATTTCTATAAAAATATTAAACAATTAAATTTAGGAAAAAGCTGGTGTAGGGCTGGAGAGATGGCGCAAGAGTAGAGGTGCTTGCTACTAAGGCTTATCAACCGGGTGTTATCCCTGGAACTCACATGGTAGGAAGAAAAAGCCAACTGTCACTGTTGTCCTCTGACCTCTACACACATGCACATAGACACAAAAAGTTTAAAAAGGAAACCTTAAAAAAGAAAACAAAGGGATTGGAGAGATGGTTCAGTGGTTAAGAGCACTGGCTGTTTGTTCTTCTAGAGGATCTGGGTTCACTTCAGTTTCAGCTAACAACTGTAGCTTCGGTTCTAGGGGATCTGACACCCTTATACAGATATTTATGTAGGCAAAACACCATTGTACATGAAATATAAATAAACCATTAAAAATTTTAAAAAGAAAACAAAATTTAAAGCTGGTAGAGATGCTTGCCAGGAGGATTGCTGTGAGCTCATTGATAGCCTAGTCTTCACAGTGAGTTCAACACCAGCCTGGTCTATGTAGCCTGGACTTCAATGTTTTAATCTCTTTAAAGCTGGTGTGGTATCTTATACATATATATATTCTGTCATAACCATAAAAAGAAAGAAAGGGAGGGAGAGAGGGAGGGAGGGAGAGAGAGAGTTAGAGTCATAGGAACACACCACATGAAATCTAATTATGGCTCCATTCAGTCAGCTTAATGGTGGGTCATGACTATATGCCTGCCCCTCATCTCAGTGGGATGCATTCATCCTGGTGAGCAGGCAGCTTGCTGCTCCCACATTGTGGAAACATGATGAGCTCATTGCAGACGGCTGAGAAACTTTCTAAGACTTGATATTTGCTTTTAGTTCTACAGAAGAAACACGGTTAATATGCAGTAATATGACTGGCTTCAGTAAAAAGCAGAGGACTGTAACCTCCAAGTGCTCTTATCCACCCTTCTTACTACTTTCCAGAGTCTGATATTTCTCGTTCGAGACTGGAGTTTCCCGTACGAATTTTCATATGGAGCTGATGGTGGCGCCAAGTTCTTGGAAAAACGACTCAAGGTTGGTTAACTATTTAGGTGCTTGCCCTTTCTCCAGAATAAGCTGGAGTATTTCTGTTGAATTACTTCACTCAGGAGCCACAATTTCAGTTGCCCCTTGCAGTTTCTCTAATAAACAACTCAAGATGGATTTGTAATGAACTATAGAACTGTACTTTTAAGTTATTGTCTATGAATCTGATATAGATGCTTTTTTGGTAGATGATTTGGTAGATACTTCTTTGGTGCTTGTTCCTCCAGGAAAAACTTCTATCTTGAAGATGCAAAGCAGTGTGAGACTGCAGTGTAAAGGCCTAGATTCACATTCTACTAGCAATTTAAATAATTATCTCATTGTGTCCTTCCTACAAACTGTTAAACACATGTCTGAAAGGGATGGGTTATTTAGGTTGGTCTGAAATGTCTAGCTATTCAGATGCCATTTTAGGATTCAAAGATGGAGCTGATTGTTTGTTTGTTACTATCAACTTCATACGAGCTAGGGTCGTGTGGGAAGAGAGAATCTCCATTGAGAAAATTCCCTCATCAGACTGGCCGGTAGCCAAGTGTGTGGGAGGGTCCAGCCTTCTGTGCCCCAGGCAGGTGGCTCTGGGTTGTTTAGAAAGTAAAGTGACTGAGTCACTAGAGCAAGTGAGCCAGCAGCACTCCTCCGTGGCCTCGGCTTCAGACCCTGCCTCCAGATTCCTACCCTGCGATGCTGGTCCGACTTCTCTTGGTGACGGAATAGAAAGTGAAGTGGGAACAAACCTTTTCTTCCCCAGCTGCTTTTGGTCATGGTGTTTATCCCCACAGCAGAGAGCCAACTGTGAGAGAAGTTTGTCCCAGAGATTAGACATTGCTGTCACAGAACTGACCACGTTGAAGACAGAGGCTTACAAAGTGTGTCGATTGCACACACTTGCTACACTTATATATGTAAAGTGTGTCAATTGCACACACTTGCTACACTTAGATATGTAAAGTGTGCTGATTACACACACTTGCTACACTTAGATATGTAGTGTCCTGATTGCACACACTTGCCACACTTAGATATGTAAAGTGTCCTGATTGCACACTTAGATATGTAA